CGTTGATCGTTATCATCTGCCACACAGCTCATTCCTGAGGTGGCCCATGGTGTGGCAGTATTCTGTATTAGCACATGGTCCTTACCTTACTGGGTTATGGCTAGGTGACCTAGACCAGGATAATTGATTGGTTACAGGATGGATACTGTCACTCATATATATTAATTATGACGCAATGCCACAATCTGCTACATATTACATATCATCCTGCATACAGGCATCCATATTACTGCGCTACAGGATTGTGGCAAATGGCATTCGTGCGTATTCACCGCGTTAGAAGAACAGCCGGACCCCCGTCAGCTTTCATACGGACTGTCAAGTTTGATGAGTGACGCCCGACCCGGGGATAGGTTCACGCCGCCCTCATTCTGAGCTTGACCAATCATGTTCTCAGTATTTCCTTGGCGGCTGGCGAGTGGTCGTAGCCGCCGGTGTCCGGGGGCGGGGCTTGATGTGGAGCGGAAGTGCGACGTACGGAGTGGGTTGCGTGACGGGTTTGTTTGCTGTGTTTATATGAAGAAGAGGAGGAAGACATTGACGGCCAGGGCGATTAGGAGGCGCTAGTGTCTGTAATTTGGGCTTTTTTAGGGGCAAAATGACAATATTCTGATTAATTCAGCATTCAAACCAAAAAGACGTCTTCTGAGGACGGAGTAAAGTGAGGTGCCTGGCTTGTATGGCTGGCCAGCATGCAGAAGAGTCCGGGGTTGATATTTAACATAAATATATTTTACAAGCACCGAAGCAGGGGCAATTTATGTATATTTATTTTTCAGATTTGGTCGGCATTTTAATATCGTGATCGGGGTCTGGGTTGGTTTCTCACGTTTAAAAGTGCGCTAGCTAGCTTTCTGGTGTTGCTGTGAAGGTAATTAACTGATTAACGGTCACAACCGGATTTTTATTTATTTATTTATTTTTACATTTTTTTTTTACTTTTTATTTTTTGCTGCGTGGGACATAAAATACGAAACCCGTAAGTTGATAAGTTGATAATCCGTTGTTATATTTAGTGTCACTGTTTCTACACAGTTCCTAGTTCAGTGTGTCTATTTTAAGTATACTGTGCCTGTAGTTTCAAGCAAATTTAACTTATTTATTTGTAACCGACTAATAAGCAAACAAATCGAAAAAAACTATTAATGCGATGACATTGATTTACATTATTTATATATATCCATATTTGGCAGTTTTATGTCACATAAACGTAACGAAATTGTAAATTTCTTTATGGCTCTGTGTCACATTTTTAAGTGTGATATGTCGTTTTAAGTAAACTTAATATGATGCATTAAAAAACCGGCATCACCATGCAAATGTCGAAGGGATGCCTTTCCTTAAACGCACACAGAGCTGAAGATCAAGGGATGGCTTAGATGACTATATCTCTAAATCAGTCGCTCCTTGTCTTTTAGTATTATTTTGATAATATGACTTTGTAATTGGATATTATTGATATTGTCAATTGGAAACATGTCGATTATTAATTTAATCCTAATGTGACTCATGTATGAGTGCCTTAGAACTCATTTATTGCGAAGAAATCGATTTAGCATTACTACTACAAGTGTGCATGCATTTTGTTTTATCTAAATGCTAATGAAATTAATTGTTTTAAGAACTGAAGAACCTTATTACTTGTCTAGTAATTGAAATGGTTCCCCTCCGCCTCCACGCCCCCCCCCCCCCAGCATGCTGGCAGAATGCTGCCGGTAATCCGGAGAGATGCCGGCCTGTGGCATCAGACAAGGAGCCTGCTGTACAAGAACCTGCTGATCAAATGGAGGACAAAGCAGCAGAGCCTGCAGGTGCAGAAGTGACACCGCCCATCTGAAAGAGCCCACAGTCATTTGCTGCCAGTCTGAATATGTTGATTTGCCTCCTGTATCTGTGTGTGAATCACTTTGTTTATATCGGGAGGTTTTCTGTGTTGCGTAGTTTGTGTTTGAGAAAAGAATTTATCAGACATTGTCACTAACGCTGTGAAAACTGGCATTGTAGGGGGTGGAACTGTGGCTTTATCTAGTCCTTATCTAGTTTTCCTTTGTGGTGGGGGGGGGGGTAAGTGACCATTTTCTACCTTGGAGAATCTCATCAGACCCTAGAAGTGTCTAGACCAGTGTTTCCCAGTCCACAGGTGGTCCACCTTTTCTGCTCCTTCCCAGCTCCCAGTACATGGACTGTCTGTGTGTCCCTGAGGACTGGGCTGGGAGACTGGTTTAGACTGTACTTACCTGCAGACAGTGCGTGATATTACCCCAAACATGTCTGGATTCTGTGGCAGCCTTGTCATGTTTTGGTTTCTTGATGATGGGGAGATTCTGTGACGGACTGTCATCCCGTCTGGGGTGTCCTGTGCTTCCTGGGGACAGGCTCACCGTCACCCTGGAGAAGCAGTCATGGATGGATGGATGGCTGCCTTTGAGAGTGTAACAGCCAGTCATAGGCTGGGCTTTTCAAAATGTCGAAGAATTTTAGTTATGCTGTAAGTGCTGTCAGAGGGTAGGGCCTCACTGAAAACCGCACCTGCAGATTTCCAGGGAATTCCTGTCCCATGTGGATTGTCGGGAACGTCCACGGAGGCACGCCTTTCCCGCCAAGCCGCTGTGATGGAAGATGCTGGGATTGGCTGCATTTCTGGGAGCCCGTAACACAGCGCAGCGCGCGACACGTGTCTTTGTTTTGTCTGTTAAGCGGGGCTGCGCTTTTTTATTTTACCTTTTGTTGTTCTGTTGCATTTTTAATCGTCCTGCGCGAGTATCCATTCCTCTGGGGGGTCATTGGTGTTCAAGTGGCGTTGGGGTGCGGGGCACGTGATCGTCTCATGAATCCCTCGTGATAATCCTGTCACGTGACCGTGGTCAGTCACAAGACATTCTGCTGCTCAGCACGGACAGGCCAAAGCACTGACCTAATCCGCTTTAAATAGACAAATTACTATCTCCCCTTCGTTACGTTTTACATACTTGTCCAAAAGAGAGAAACACACACCTCAAATAACTAAACAGTGCTAAACTTGGTACATAAGTTTACTTATAGCTTTACCTATTTATACAGCTGGATAATTTACCAGAACAAATAAGGTCGCTGTGTCTGTGATCAGAAGGTCATTGGTTCAGATCCCTCGCTCTGCAGAGTGATGTCACCGTTGGCCCCCAGAGTGAGGCCCTTATCCTCAGTTGCTCCAGGGAGCGTCTGACGCTGCTTGGGATAAAACCATATTTCATTCCCTTGTAGCATCAGCAGCGACGGGGCCTGTAGCTGCTTTCTGTAATGAACCGTTGACTTGTAATACGAGGGTAATGTGACCCGCTGGTGTTTCCGTAACGAGGTAGATGGTGCTCACTCCTAGCGGCAAGATGCTCTCTTAGGTTATAACAAGGTAAAAGCAGTTCTGTGGCTTCAGCCCACAGAAAATCAGAGTTGGTAGCTAGGTTAGGTGGTTAGGCTGCTAGGTTAGGTGGTTAGGCAGCTAGGTTAGGTGGTTAGGCTGCTAGGTTAGGTGGTTAGGTTGCTAGGTTAGGTGGTTAGGCAGCTAGGTTAGGTGGTTAGGTTGCTAGGTTAGGTGGTTAGGCAGCTAGGTTAGGTGGTTAGGCTGCTAGGTTAGGTGGTTAGGTTGCTAGGTTAGGTGGTTAGGCTGCTAGGTTAGGTGGTTAGGCAGCTAGGTTAGGTGGTTAGGTAATGGCATTGAGGAAACCATATGGAGACTGACAGCTTCGGAAGGCAGGTCATGGGGACAATGGTCTCTGATGGGACCACCGAGTTAAGGAGATGACCTTCTCCTGGAAGGACAATCATGACACCTTGACCTGCACGCGGAGTGGAACATCTTGCTTTTACCTGACTTTTTGTTGATCGAGTGAGGTTGGTACATGCCTGTGGTTCTCCCATTCAGCATTTGGATGGTCTTGAATATCTTTTGTGTTTATGCTTCCCCGTGACAGCATTAGGGTGTAAAAAGCATAAAGATTCTGCTCCTCTTGCCCTATCTGTGTCCTCTCAGCCCTAAGCCTCTTAATGTCGGTCGACTCCACAAATGTCTTTGTGAGGATCTCGAATCCCCTTCATTTTCTCGGTCAGTACCCTGTTGTTGGTGAACAACCCCTACAACTTACAGGATCCTGCTCCTCAAAGAGTGGGATTATGGGTACGCCTGGACCACACCTTTAGGGACACCGTAGTGGTGTGGTCCAGGGACGAGGATGCAGAGCCTGCTGAAAGCGGGCAGTACATCCCATAGGAAGGGGTGGGGCTGCAGATTGATGGTTTGTGTGGATGGGCTGATGGACTCTTTGGGGCTTGGTGCCCAGCAGGTGGGGGTGTCGTCGATGAGGCTAATGCCGTCACTCGCCGACATCTGCAAAGTCATCCGTCACTATCGGCGGGGGGAGGAGGAAAGGGGCTCGAGCAAAGGGAGGCCGCAGCCAAGAGCAGCATGTGGAGTTTTGTTGGTCCACATCTCCATGGGGCTCCTGCAGTGCGGGTCATGCAGGTGTGACGTCTCAGCCTGGGTCTCAGGGCTCCTTTTGGTCCTCCTTCACTATGAGGACGTTATACAGGAGAACCGCTTCCGTGTATCGGGGGCAAAGGAGGGTCTGTGCCGGAGGAGCCCTGACAGACCTTGGGCGACGAGGAAGCTGGTCCACACCGTGCTCCGAGCTGCACGGCCTGTGAATAGTTAATATAATTTGCGCCAGTATGACACAGAAAGTGCGATTTCAGTCTTTCCTTAGTTTGTAGCGTGAAGAATCTTAACAAGAAATGCTGGCCATTGTTTTGTTTTTTCTTTCTTTTTTCCACCCCCCCATGTGGGTGCAGCCTCTCCGATCTTCAGATTCTTATTTTTGTTGCATTTTTTTGGCCATGTCGTCCCACAATGTGCCCCTCCCACCTCATTCCACCCCGCCCCCCCCCTCAGGAGCTAATCCTGCCCCTGCTGTTATTGGGGCTCCTGATCTTCATCAGCATCCTGAACCCACACATCTACTATGAGGACATCAGCACCATGGAGCTGGACAGACACTTCTACCCCACGTTTAAGTGCCTGGGATACACTCCCATCAGCAACGTCACCAGCCAGATCATGGAGGACGTGGCCCACGAGTTGCGTGAGTTTCCTCCTCAGCTGCAGGCACCGTCTCGGGTCTTCTGAGCACCGACGATCAGGTCTGAGGAACATCATCTCCGCGGGCTTGCATGAGCACCATCAGATGCCCGGCTTGGTTTCATATTGTGCCTCTCGGCTGTGCAGAGGTGCCTGGAGAATAGGGTTAGTAAGCAGGGAAATGAGGACCAGAGGAGTAAGCGTGAAACTTATTACGATGAGTCAGGCAGACAATGGGCCCAGAACATTCTTCAGTCCCATGAATGTGCCTAGTGAGTCATTGATGTCCCTCGCACTTACATTTTTCTGACTTTCCACCCCTGCAGAAATTGACCACCTGGAGATGTTCTCCACCGAAGAGGACCTGGAGAACGCCAGCCTGCACGAGACGTCGAACCTGGTGGGCGTGGTCTTCCTGGACAACATGTCGTACCGGCTGCGTTTCCATCACAGCCAACTGCCCCTCCCCAGCGACTTCACTGAGTCCATCGGTGAGCTGGTGCCCAGCCGTGAACGAACCCCCCCCCCCCCAGAGCGGCATCAGAAGTCTGTTTATTCTGAGTGGAGTCCCTTTATATAGCTCCGAAATTTGGTGGGAAAAACCACTTTGTACTAGTGGGGGGGGGGGCTTTGTGTATTCTCCGTCGTTCAGGATTTTTTCTGGGGAACAGTTTGTATAATTTTCTTGTGAAAAATGCAGACGGTGTTGTGACTAAATGCTTGTGTGTCGCTCCTCAGCCAGCTGCTTCTCCTACACTGCGCACTGCCGGGCGGCAAATTACTGGTTCACCGGCTTCGTCCGCCTCCAGGCTCTCATCGACGCGGCCATCATACAGGTCAGAGGTCACCTTCCTCCCTGTTGTCCACATTTACCCATAAACCTCTTATATAATGAGTGTGGAAGGAAGGCTTCTGTGCTTTATCAGCTAGCAGAGGAAGGCTTTTGTGGTTTTTTTTTTTCCCCCACTTAGGCTTAGTGTAATGAACAATCACGCCTCTCGTTAGTTAAACGAGCTCCCTCGCCTTAAGAGCCGGGCTCCTTGCTGGTGGTGTGACCGCTCTGTTTGTCCGTCCGGCTGCGTTCACAGATGCAGACGAAGAGGTCGGTTTGGAGGGAGATGTCCGACCTGCGGGTGGTCATGATGGGCCAGCCGGGCTCGGTGGAGGTGCAGACCTTTCCGCACGCGCTGATCTCCATCTACCTGGTGCTGGCCTTCACACCCTTCGTCTCCTTCCTCATCGTCAACGTGGCGGCTGAGAAGGAGCGCCGCCTCAAAGACACCATGACCATGATGGGGCTCTATGACTCTGCGTTCTGGTCAGTCTGGGTTATGCTCATTAATGCTGTTTTTCCATTACATATTAACTGAATTCGTTAGTTTATTTAAAAGGGATTAGCAGGAACCAGGTTGTGGTTGACAGTCTAATGGTGGCGGATTGTGTGTGTGTGTGTGTGTGTGTCCGTCCACACAGGCTGTCCTGGGGACTCCTGTACACAGCCCTGGTCACAGCCATGTCCGTCCTGATGTCCATCATCGCCACCTATACCGCTCTCTTCCCCAACAGCAACTTCCTGGTTGTCTTCCTCCTCATCTTCCTCTACGGGATATCCTCTGTGAGTGTGGTTCTGCCCTCTTACTGACTGCCATGTTGCGTCGCTTTTAGTCGTTAGTGGGGAGCGGTTACTCCGGACAGCCGCTGATGCTGTGGTGATTAAACTGGAGTGAGTCTCTTTGACATTTACGCTGCGTGTGGATTTTGCCTGCATCTTCACTTCAGACCAATCTTTTCAGTCCAGACGAATCTCCAGTTTAGAATGGATGGTGGTTGAGGCTATTTTGGAGACTGGATTTTTTTTTACCTGTGTAGAATTATTAGGCAAATTATTCTTGCTACTAAAGTGGACTGATAAAGGACCTTAGACAGAGCGCAAAAAGAAAATGTTAAAGTTCCAGTCGGAGGGATGCAGAACGTGTCTAATATGATAACTGTACAGTCGAGCGTTTTGTGACCAGCAGTCGAAGGCGATGGAAGAAGTGAGCAGAGAGCGAGATGCAAATTAACTACCAAAGATGGACGCCAAATTAAAGGGGTGACCAAGAAACACTCGTTAGATCCAAGTGCCACCATGTTTTCAAAACTGAACGGAATCTGTGTAAGTACCAGGTGCAGGAGCTGCGTGGCGACGCTCCGGTCAGAGAAGCTGAAACGTGACCCCACACGACGGCACTCAAGCCGCATATCTCTCATGGGTGTATGAGATGGGTGACTGGATGGAGCAGGTGGACGGGTCAGCAAATGGACACCTTCAAGGTGTGGGGGTGCAGGCTGCAGTTATCATGACCCGCCGGACCTTTACAACTCCTATATGGTGTAAAAATTAACTAGAGGATCTTCTGCCAATTTCTTTAAGACATGAAGTCGTCAGCTGTTTTCTAAAAGGTTGTGATGTTCATGCAGCACGATGTTCCTTCCCATGCGTCAAAGGATTCCACAGATTGGCTAAGAACGGCTTGGAAGGTGATTGAAACATGAGCTGCTCCCATTGAGAACTACTGGGCCTTTCTGAGGTGTGACATTTACCAGTGTGGCTCAGTGCACGTCTCAGAGCCGCGTCTGGGAGGCTCCTGGAGGCCTCAGCCGATGTGGGACGTCACCAAATCAAAAGGCTGACTGGTTCATTGGACGACAGGCTGATGGAGGTCACTGGTTAGAAAGGTGTCCTATACAGGACATTCAGCTTGGTGAAGTGGGCTGACTGTATAGAACACCCAGTAGTTTGTTATTCCTTATTTGGACTGAATAACTAAGTTTATTTTATTTGGTGGTAAAGAGAAAAATCCAGTTTGCCAAATAATTTTGCACACTAAGTGTTTTTGTTTCATTTTTCTTTGTGCCAGATGAATGTAACATTTTTTTCTCAAATTTACTTGGTGGAACAAACTTCATAATTCTCTTTCATATCTGCCTAAGTTTCGCTGAAAATTATCACCAGTAATAGTTCTTGCCTGATATTTCTGCTCGCAGTGTAATTGCGCGGTATTAGCACTAAGTGATTGTATACTTAAATTTAAGGCTGAAGTACAAAATCGACCAATCAGAATAGTGAATAGTGGCTCTAGTGTTGGTCTGATTGGCTATTTCTTTCCCTCTGAATCGTCTCACGGACATAGACGGCCACAGCTCAGCCGTTGGTTTGCGCTCTGAGCCGTCGAGGGGGGGCCGTACTCGATCCTGCACTCTCGTGTCTTATCACATTTTATTTTATGGCTCAGATAATTTGCAGGCGTTGGTTGCTCAGATGGAGCAGGAAATGTAGAACCTTCTGGACTGGTGGGGGGGGGAGGCTTCAGACGCGTGTTATCTTGGATTACACTGTCGCACGAGTGATGTGGGGGCTGCTTCCCGTTCTCGTGAAATGTGAATCATGCCCAAAAGCATGTTGGTGTGGGCTCACCCCCCCATTTACGTGTCCTAACAGCGATAACCCCCCCCCCAGATCTTCTTCTCCTTCATGCTGACCCCCCTGTTTAAGAAGCCCAAGCTGGCCAGCACTGTGGGCTCCATGCTGACCGTGCTCTTCGGCTGCCTGTCGCTCTTCACCGTGCTGATGGAGGACTTCCCTCAGGACGCCGTCTGGCTGCTCTGCCTGCTGTCCCCCACCGCCTTCTCCATCGGCGTCGCCCAGGTGACGCTGTGGCTGCTCTCGCCGCGGGTCTCAGGCCAGGCAGCTCCTTTGACCTAACCGCCCCCCCCCCCCCCCCCCCCCCCCCGGCAGGTGGTGGACCTGGAGGCGCAGGGCGACGGCGCTGTGTTCTCCACGCTGGCCAACGGGCCGCACCCGCTCTACGTGCCCCTGCTCATGCTGCTGCTGGACTGCATCCTCTACCTGCAGCTCGCCGTCTACCTGGACCAGGTCCTGCCTGGTGTGTTCGGACCGGCCCGGTTCCATCCCGCGAGTCGTTTTTGAATAAGTGTATGGGAAGCTGCCTGGTGACACTAACCCCCCGGCCCCCCCCCCATCCTACAGGCGAGTTCGGAATGCGCCGGCCCTTCTTCTTCTTCCTGAAGCCGTCCTATTGGTCGAGGCGCAGGAAGCGGTGCGCGGACCTGTCCTCTGTGTTCGAGGGGGAGGTCAATGGCGGCCCTGTCCTCAGCGACTCCGTGGAGCCAGTTTCCCCCGAGTTCAGGGGCAAAGAAGTGATCAGGTGTGATACTGGTCTAACCCTCTCCGCTTCCAGTGATTCCACCTTTGGTTAAGAGAAGGGTGTAGTACCGGGTCTGACCTCTAGGTCAAATTTTTAATTTTAAAATTTTTAAAGCCTGTTCAGATCGAGCTCTTTAGTGAGGAAATGCTGCGATAGAGATCACAATCACACTATAGGATTACAAAACCACTTCTGCTGAATTAGAACACATATTGAGAGGGAAGAGTCCTTTAACACATACAAGTATAAACACATTTAATAATGCAGTAGCGTTATCAAAAGCTCCTCCAGTAGTTTTCTCCTGTCTCAGCTGTCATGTGACCTGTGTGTATCTCTTACTGTATATTTGTCTTGTATTGGAGTGTGTTGCTCAGCTGGTTCAAGCAGCAACATGACAGTTAGCAGTCTGAGGCACTGTTAGCCTGTTAGCGGTGAGGTCTGTGCGATCGTCATCGTCTGCCCGCTTCTTCCGCGCCCACATGCTCTCCTGAAGCGCTGCCATGTCGGGTTACACTGCTGGGTCACTTCCGAGGAATGTGATTCTGGTCAGTTTCTCGTAATTCTATATCCTTGCCGGGGGTGATTCCGTGCTTCTGGTCAGAAGGTCGTTGGATCAAATCCTATGATCGACAGACTCATTTTGCTGCTGGGCCCTTAGCCTCCTATCAATCCCAGTATTGGCTGACCCTGATCTTTCAGATGTATGTCGCTTTAGATTAAAGTATCTGCTCAAGAAATGCACATGATATCATGATGCCAAAGGATACGCTTCTCTTTGTCGCCCCCCCAAGGATAAACAACATCCAGAAGATTTATAAAGAGAAGGACGCCACGGTGGAGGCCCTGCGCGGTATGCTTCCTCCCGCCCACCCCCTGCCCATCACACTCTGCCCTCAGGCTGCTTTGCTTGTGGTCGGGAGGGGGGGGGGATTCCCATTCGTGTCCCACCTCCCATGTATGTCATTTTAAATCTCCGGATGTGTAAATGCTCAGATGATCGTTCCTGACTGACTACTCGTCTTTCGGGGTTATTGTGCTGAGATACAATAGATGGCTTGTGGTAGCAGCAGTCTTGTATCACGCCTCTCGGGTCGTGGGTTCGATTACCCCCCCCCCCCCCCGTGTGAGTGCGTGCTCCCATGATAAACAGCCTGCGTCCCTCTCTTACTGCTCATTGGCCGAATTAGTTGATTTGGGTGGCTGTACTGTGGCATTACCCAGAAAGACATTCTGAGATGCCCTTGAATTGCTTATCTAAAAGTCTCTGCCCCCCCTCCCCCCCATCTGAAGGCTTCACATTTGACATCTACGAAGGCCAGATCACAGCTCTGCTGGGCCACAGCGGCGCGGGGAAGTCTACCCTCATGAATATCCTCTGTGGGATCTGCCCGCCCACTGAAGGTGAGGGACCACGCCACACGCGAGCATGCCCCAGAGACGATAGGGTGCACCCGGGTTCGGGCGATGGCGGGGGTGCCCCCGGGTGCTGAGAGCTCCTGCCCTCTGTCACAGGCTCGGTCACCATCTACGGCTCGTCAGTGTCGGACATGGCGGACGGCGTGGCCATGCGCAGGCTGGTGGGCGTCTGTCCACAGTTCAACATCATGTTCGACGTCCTCACCGTGGAGGAGCACCTGCGCATCTTTGCTGCCATCAAAGGCATCCCGGCCAGCGACATTGACCGTGAGGTGAGGGCGCCCCCTTGTGGGCAGGAGAACCTCACATACCTCACAACGGCCCAAAAGTCCTGGACCTGGGGAAGATTGTGATTCCATCCTCATATCTGTGCGGCTTTGTGAGTGATGTCCGTTTCATCCGGGGAGATTTACTTTGCACAGTTGGGGGTGTCGTGGGGCAACCATAGCTTCAACCCTAGGACAAAGGCAACTGGGGCAGCTTCCGCCCCAAGCCTAAGCATAGGGCGCAGGGGCTTGTTTTTTGAGGTGTTAAAGGTGCATCTGCAAGGTCCCTCCTGGTAGCTGGACGTTAGTGGCCCCTCTCCCAAATGGCTTTGCTGCCTGATAGTCCTGCTGAGTGTTGGTAATGCGCTGATCTTCCATCGGGGGGTGTGTTCTCATGTGTTTGTGAACCCGTGTTACCTGGGGAAGCACATGAGCGGTCAGGCACCAATCGGTTGCGTCGGAGCACAGCACCTAACACGCGTGTCACTTCCAGGTGAGCAAGGTGCTGAAGGCCCTGGACTTGGAGAAGATCATGGATGCTCAGGCTAAGAACCTCAGCGGGGGGCAGAAGAGGAAGCTGTCGCTGGGCATCGCCATCCTCGGGGACCCCAAGGTAACACGCCTGAGGAGGAGCAGCTGGTACCCGGGGAGACGCCATGGGGCAGACGTTAAGGGTTAAGGTCCGCCTTCTCCTCCTCAGATCCTCCTCTTGGACGAGCCGACGGCCAACATGGACCCCTGCTCCCGCCACCAGGTGTGGTCCCTGCTGAAGAGTCTGCGGGCCGGGAGGGTCATCGTGCTCAGCACGCACTACATGGACGAGGCGGACATCCTGGCAGGTGAAACACCCCCATTCCCGCCAGAGCGTCCAAGCCCAACGCGGAGAGTCTCTGGGCTCAAATCCTGATCTCGCTCTCGCTTCTTTAAGAGTGTAGGAATAGGCAGCCGTGGCTGATGGTCCAGCGCGAATGTCTCCTTGATGCTTTCTCTCTCTACGCCCTCCACCCCCCGCCCCCTGACCCTCCAGACCGCAAGGCCATCATCTCCCAGGGCCAGCTGAAGTGCGTCGGATCCTCCCTGTACCTCAAGACCAAGTGTGGGGTCGGCTACCACCTCAGGTCTTTGTTATAATTAATATTTAAATTCTGAGCCGGTTTCCAGTCCACAGGAAGTATAAGTCACCTGTCTAATTTCTTCCTATAAAGCCTCCACTAGTTTTGTTGAAATTTGTTGCCCTGGTGACCTCTGACCCCGCCCCACGCTGGCTCCCTCCAGGATGTCAGTGAGCGAAGCCTACCGGGCAGATGCCATCACGCCGCTGGTCAGGCAGCACGTGCCCAAGGCCCAGCTGGCACGGCAGCAGGAGGCGGAGCTCACCTACACGCTGCCCTTCGAGAGCGTCGATGCCTTTCCAGGTGCAGCGTCGCTCCCGTCGCCCGTCTGTGGGATGACAGGCCCTGCTTTTCAGTGCCACGTCGCCCCCTTCTGGCTGCCCGCGGTCTCACACGTCGCCCTCCCTTGCCATCTGCAGACCTCTTCTCTGACTTGGACTGCCGGCCTGACCTGGGCATTGCCAACTATGGCGTTTCCATGACGACCTTGGAGGACGTCTTCCTGCGGCTAGAAGCGGAAGCTGAAGCGGAGGTGGACAGAGCAGGTCAGAGGGTGGGGGGGGAACTCAACTCGCGTTAACTCTGTGTGACACTGCACTCTGTGAGACACTGCACTCTGTGTGACACTGCACTCTGTGAGACACTGCACTCTGTGAGACACTGCACTCTGTGAGACACTGCACTCTGTGAGACTAACTGCTTCTCGGTATAAAGAAACCTCCTCATTATAGGGCTGGGGCCCTTTTCTGTTTAAATGACACTGTTGTTTGCCTTGGAATATTCCAGATGAAGCTGTAGGGACAGCAGCAGGTGTAGCATCTCAGGAGAGCCGGTGGCTGTTTTCCCCTGTATGTCCAGTAGGGGGCAGACTGGGTCATCATGTGTGGTTTCTTGCCTGCAAACACAGCTGAGTGTGTAAATTTTCATGCTATAGCGTCTCCCTCCCTCCTCCCAGACTACAGCGTGTTTAACCAGGAGTCCGCAGAGAGTGAGGGTGACGCCTCCTCACTGGACGACATAGACCAGAGACTGCTGACCTTCTCGGAGGGCCAGCAGGAGGCGCTGCGCGGCCGAGCCCTCTGGTACCAGCAGTTCCGCACCGTGGCCAGGCTGCACCTCCTCAACCTGCAGCGTGAGAAGAAGTCCGTCATCTACATGTGAGCCCTGGCAGGGGGGGGGTGTGGGAATGGTGCGGGGGTCCATGTGCCGTGCGCCGGGGGTTAGTGTTGTAACACTCGCCTCCTGTGGCCCCCAACAGCCTGGCCCTGTTCGCCATCTTCCTGGCCTCGGTCCTGGCGCTGTCCCTCATCACGGGGAACATCCAGATCCACCCCCCGGACCGGCAGTTCCTGCCCATCTACCTGCTTCGCCGCCACCAGGCCGCCCGGAGGTACGCCACCCCCCTGCTGGTGCAGAACTCGTCAGGTGAGTCCGTGGCCTCTCTGGGGTGTCTGTCGTGCTGCTGCTCAGCGGATCACGTGTTCCGCTCCCGCCTCCTGACACGTGCAGAGCTGACTGGGTGCGCCCGCCCCGCCCTGACTGCACATCTTTTCCTTCCCACCAGACTCTGATATCTCCGGGTTCATTCACAACCTGGAATCCCAGGACATTAAGGTGGAGCTGATGAAGAACGTGGACTATGTGGCCGCTGCCCCACACAGCGCCGCCATCAACGTGACGGGATCAAGCAAGGTTAGTGCAGGGGCTGGGATGTTGTCCGGTACCAGCTGATTGGCTGATTTGTTCCTGCCTTCTACCTGAGGCCAAGGTCACATGACAGTGGAGTGCTGAGAACAAAGTGGATTCTGGGAAATGCAGTCCCCCTATGGCTATAGCCAGTGCTCTTGGGGGATCACTGGTATTGTTTTGCCCACAGGCGTACGAGTACTATCTGGCGTTCAACAGCACCACGGTGCACTCCCTGCCCATGCTGGTGAACATCCTCAGTAATGCCCTCCTAAGGGGCTTCAACGGAAGCGGCCAGATCAGCACCTGGACCAAACCCTTTGAGTTTGTGAGTGTGGGCTTGTAGGTGGGGCTATATTCCCCTGGTGGGGGAGGGGGTGATCAAGCTGCAGTCTGCGTGCTAGCTGTAAAATAACCCCCCGCCTTGTGCTCTGTGTTGCCCCCCCCCCCCAGCAAATGCCGGACTCCATTTCGTACACGCTGGTCTACATCGAAGCCATGCTGCTGGGGATGCTCGCGGCCGGGATGCCTGCCTACTTCGCCATGGACCACACGCGCGACCGCGAGGTGACCACCCACGCTGCGCGGGTCCAGACCACAACCTGACACCGCGTCGTACTGCTACGTAGCGGGTTGTAGGAAGTAGGAACGTGAAGGGACGGGGATGACTGCGTACAGTGTTGTTTCCTGGGGCACGGTGTCGTCACCCTGCTGTAACAGACTGCCCCCCCCCCCCCAGATAAGGTGCCGCTCGACACTGAGGGTCTCGGGTCTGTCCCCCTCGGCGTACTGGTGTGGCCAGGCCGCTGTGGACGTGCCCTTCTACTACCTCATCCTGGTCTGCATGACCAGCACCCTGTTTGCCTTCCACTCCAGCGACTTGATCTACCCCAAAGCACTCGTCTCGGTGGTCAGTATCAGGGGGTGGGGTTTGTGTGCTGGAGGCGGGGCCTGTTGAGGGATTTTGTGGGTGGGGGAGGGTCAGCGTTGAAGGTTCCCAGTGGTTATATTCTTGGTTGGCTTTTCAAAAAAAATTTAAGAAACCCTGCGTAACCTTTACACCATGGAGGAAGATGACTGGCTGCCTTCTCCCCCAGACGCTGTGCCTGATTGGCTACTGCCTGGCCATGGTGCTCTTCACCTACGTGGTGTCATTCATGTTCACCCGGGTCCAGAGTAACCGCGACTTCTTCTCCGTGCTCTGCATGATGGTGAGTCTGCATTTTTTGTCTTCGGAAAGTAAAAAATGGTAAAACCTTCCTGTCTTATCTTGCTGTCTATAAACGGGAGGAACACAGATTTTAGCTTGTATTGAGTTTAATGGCTGCAGTACTGAGTTAACTGTCAATGGCAGCCGGTCGGCACATGTACGGCACACGGTGCTGCTGTGAGGGGCGTGTGCGTGACACGTGTGCGTGACACGTGTGCGCGTGTGCCAGGTGTGCGTGGTCTCGGCCTTCGTGGTGCAGCTGTCGTCATTCAGCGAGGGCATGACCGTCATGCGGCTGCTGCACAATGCCGTCTGCCTACTGAACCCGCTCTACCCTCTCATGGGCTGCCTCAACTACATCACCAGGGTGAGGCGCTGTTGCGCGTGGCCGCTGGCCTCCCCGCCGAGCTCGCCGGCCTGGTCCTGCCGTCCCTGACCTTGCGTCTGTGTTTTTATTCTTCCTCTGCTGCTGCTGCTCCCCAGACCACCTTCGCCAACGTCAGCTACGATTACAACGGCTTCCTCATAAACAATCTGCTGGTCACCGTCATGGCGGTGAGTCTCGGCCTCGGACCTGCAGACCCGGCTGTGCGATCGGCAGCCGGAAGGCCTGCACGCTTTTAACCCGCGAGGATGGTCAGGAAATGGTTGTATGTGTGGAATCTGCACGATTGGGGACGTACCAGGTGCACGAGGCGGGTCAGTGAGAGAGTTTGTTTGATTGGCTCGTGTGCAAAGTGGGTGGGACTTTGCCTGAGGGTCGGACTGCTTGAGTGACTTTGATTGGCGTGTTCCTGGGTGTCACTCCTTGTCCTTGTCTTCCCCCACCACAAGCTGCCTTTTCTGGGTCGCGTTACATATTTAAAAGCCTGGTCATAAGCCAGTGGTGTTGTGTGGCTTTGTGGGTTCGGACTCGTGACCGGAAGGTCGGCGGCTCAGATTTTGTGGTCAGTGATGTCACCCTTAGGCCCGTAACCCCGACTGCTTGTACGACTGGCTACAGCTGCTTTCCCAGTTACATCCCCCCCCCCCCCCCCCCCCCCCCCCGCTGCATCCCATGTGATTCGCCGCATGATCCTCCGCGTCCCGTGTGTCCGCAGCCCTACCTGCAGAGCATTCTGCTGATCCTGCTGCTCCGCTGGCTGGAGGTCCGCTACGGCGGCAGGACCATGAAGAACGACCAGCTGTGCAGGTCTGCTCCGGGGGGTCTGCATCGGGGGTGGAGTCTGGGCTGGGGTTATGACAAATGCCAATCATTAGCATTCAACTTTAGACATTGCTACATAAAGGAGCCAGTGTGTCTCTTGCCCCCCCCCCCCCCGCAGGATCTCTGGTAAGTCCAGGGGAAAAATGCAGAGGAACCCAGAGGAGTTTGAGAACGAGGATGAGGATGTCAGGGTGGAAAAGGCGCGGGTGAAGGAAGCCCTGACCTGCCAGCTCTGTGAGGAGGTGGGTGCCTCGAACCCAGGCTTGTACCCCATCCCCCCCACCGCTCCACCTCACTCTGTCACAGAGAAGGAAAACAACATCATCTTTGGATGTAAATCTGCAAGGCAGCTGGTCAGGGGGCTCCCTGAAATGGGTCATGTTATGGCTGACCAGTGACGTAAAACACAATGATGTGTTTCACGCCTCGGTTAAATAGTGACTGGCGAGTTGTATTGTAGCGCTGTCTGATTTGCATTATCGTAGCTCTAATTAATCCAGGAACAAACCAATATAATAAAACATGGGAGCTCTCTTTGGAATAACTGTCTGTCCATTGAATGCGTTTAATCAGATGTGTGTACACAGATTACATAGCAGTTTGTAAATTGAAAATTAGCCAAAGGAAATGAAATGTCTTTTTGTGTATGTGTGTCTGCGTCTGTGCAGGTGTGTGCCGGTGTCTGTGAGTGTGTGTGTGTCTGTGAGTGTGTGTGTGTCTGTGTGTGTGTGTGTGTGTGTCTGTGTGTGTGTGTGTGTGTGTCTGTGAGTGTGTGTGTGTCTGTGAGTGTGTGTCTGTGTGTGTCTGTGAGTGTGTGTCTGTGTGTGTGTGCGCGCAGATGCTCACTCATGCTCTCTGATCCCTACAGAAACCCGTGGTTGTGGTCAGCAGCCTGAGGAAGGAATACCACACCCGCTGGGAGGAGTTTGTCCTCAGCAAGCGACGGAAGGTGGCCATCAAAAATGTCTCCTTCTGCGTCCGCAAAGGTCTGTGTCTGACAGGCGCCCCCTGCAGGAAGCAGGTGGCAGAGCAGCACTAAAGGAGGGGTGTTGTCTGTGTAGGCGAGGTCCTTGGACTGCTGGGACCCAACGGGGCTGGGAAGAGCACCATGATGCACATGCTGGCTGGGGACTCGGAGCCACTGGCTGGACAGGTGAGCCTCAGACATCCAACAGGACAGAAATCAGATATAACACATCTTTGGGTTTTGATTCCACCTGCTCCTGTTGGTGCTGCAGGTGCTGATGGGAGATTACAGCACAGAGTACCAGCCCGTGGAGAATCCGCTGGAGCACGTGGGCTACTGCCCCCAGGTGAACCCGCTGTGGCCCAGGATCACCATCCAGGAGCACCTGGAGATCTACGCCGCCGTGAAGGGGCTCCGGGTGGACGACATCCCGGGGGTCATCAAGCGGTAGGCGCTCGACCGCGGACTCACCGACATCCCCATGCCTTTTGGGTGTTCTGACTGACAGGGCGGCTCTCTGACTGACAGGGCGGCTCTCTGACTGACAGGGCGGCTCTCTGACTGACAGGGCGGCTCTCTCCCTCTCCTGCAGGATGGTGAACGCCCTGGAGCTGAAGGAGCACCTCCACAAGCAGGCCAAGCACCTCACCGCCGGCCTCAAACGGAAGGTGCGTGACCGGCTGTCACAGAGCGGTACGGTTTGCTGCACCAGTGTTTCACTACGCTTGCGTGCAAGAGCAGGTCCCATGGGTCACGGGTCCTTTCCCAGGCGGCCCTCGGGTCACGGGTCCGGTCCCAGGCGGCCCTCGAGTCACGGGTCCGGTCCCAGGCGGCCCTCGAGTCACGGGTCCGGTCCCAGGCGGC